GGACATTTTCACTGAGAATATTTTCACACACATTCACTCAGAATATTTTCTATCCTAGTAACAAAACCCATTCTGCTCTAATTACGAATAACTCGCTAATCTTGCCATGCTGATGAAATTTTATCGCTGACGGCACGAATATGCAATAGCAACGATGGTTTTATTGCAACAGCAAGATTGTTTTTTCCAAGCCGGAAAGCGGAAGACCCGAGGGTCTATCCCAGCTGAGTCTGCTTTGCTCCGGTGTTTTTCACTTCGTATGACATTAAAAATGGACATCCGGGTACAAACAAGCACCCACGGCTATATTCTGATTCTCCCTTCCACGGTATACTTATTTATCGTGACAATTGTACAATAATAATAATAATAGTTTCTGGGAACTGGTATTGTTCCAGTATTGATAACCGACCATTTTTTTTTTTAATTACTGCGCTTTTTTATTACTGAATAAATCGGTACAATTATAATATTGTTTATCAAGGCCCATTGCTATCATCCCAAAAATCAATATTGAGTCAGTACCTCGTCACCAGTTATTATTTCTTACTTGGGCGTGCGAAGCGCGCCGAAATCGGTGCTTTTACCCGGATTCCTTCGCTCGATTTGGAACCTCGACATCTCCCGAGAGAGACAGGAAGCGGTAAACGCGCGTCGGGGGTATTTATAGTTCACATCACGCCTATTTATAGTTTACATCACGGTTCACAATTTATAACACGTATCACGATCGTAATCGCCGCTCGAATAATTTGTAGCGGTTTTTACGTAATATTTAATACACGAGTTCTCGGTGAGTTATCGCCGGACCGTTTTGTACGCTGACGTTACACGTCCAGCGCCGGTGTAATTTTATTGCAACAAGTGATCGAGTAGATTCGGCTATCGAGCCGCGGTATCGGCTCTTTTACGAGCTACTTCTATCTCTAGCGCTCTCTAAAAGCGGCCGCTGTCCCGTAGTACGTTTCTTCGCACGAACAACCGCACGCTGCCGGCGAGAGAGAGGAAGATAGAGAGAGAGACGGGAAGAGAAAGAAAGAGAGAGAGAGAGAGAGAGAGAGAGAGAGAGAGAGAGAGAGAGAGACTGACGAATCGCGTGTAACCCTCCCGGCCGTCCGAGCTCGCCATAATCGAAGCTGTAACGAGCGTTCTCTTACGTCGCGCGGAATTGCCAATTCCCTGTGGTACCTCGACCGCGCGCCATAATTGAAGCCGCACGTTTCGATAAACTCGATCGTAGAAACTGTCGCGCACAAATCGACGTAACCGCCATATAAACAGAGCGAGCCGTTAGTTAACTCGCGCCGTTGTGCCGAGGAAAGGGACACGCGAGCCGGATCGAAAGAAGCTTTTCGAATTTCTACGAGGACGAACGTGAGTCGCGTGCTAGGGACGATTCTACTCGGTGGCCGCTTAATTCGTATTAATTACCAGACAATGTTGCCGCACGGCCGCTGACCGGGGGTTCCCTCTCCGCCACCGGGGGAGGTCTTGCGTGGCGTTTCAATCCAATCCGGACCGTCTTGATTTCCGTTGCGCGCGAAAGCTCGATTTCGCGCTCGTCGATGCGCCGACTGGAAACCCGATCGAGACATTCGCGTTCCTATCGCGCTCTGGTCGATCGCGCGGTTCTGACTAACGTACGTGTACGGAGAAATCCCGGGTTAGACGTAGGGGAAAAGTGCCAAGGTCAACGTGCCATTTTGTTCCTGGGCCCGGAAACCCCGTTGAAGGCGTAGAATTAAAGTGGATACAAAGCAGCAACATTTATCTGCCAAAATACGTTGGAGTCTTTTGAATATGATTGCATTTCGTCTCGCAAGTAACTACTATAAAATAATGACAAAGCTTGCTGTGCTATTCGATAGAGTTCGGTACTTCGTAGCCGAGAAACATGGGTATGTCTATTTTCCATACCTTTGTCAGCTTTGGTGCTTTCCCTCTAACATCCGCGAATCCGTGCCAACTAAGTCCATTTTTCATAGTTCCCAGATTCCCAGAACGTAATCGCGAAACTGCAGCCCGTATGGAAAAGGGATTTGGCGAGTTTCGGCGATCTCGTAAATACTCCCGCGTAGGTCCGGCCTCATTTGCGTCGGGACGACGCCCGTGAGCGAGCTATCCGTGTCTTTAACTAAGCTTCCCCGCGTGAAACTCGATTATTCTCGCGACTTCACGGCCCCCGCGGGCCGTTTCCATTAGTCCGCGTAGAAAGAAAGAAGGGAGTCGCCGGTGAATTAATCGTGAAACATCACCGCGAAGTCTCCTCATATCCGCGTCTCTCTTCTGCGACCCTCCCCCTCTGACTTCGGTCCCCATTCGCCGAGGCTGCTCGTGAATTCCGCTGTTCTCGCGCGGGAACAAAACGACGGAGACCAGCAGTCGGTGGAATACGCAGCGACGATTGTTCGGACCGTTCGCGGACGACTTCCCGGAACGACCCGGCGAGAGGGTAAGAGGCTCCAAGCAGAGGGGGAGGAGGGGGCGTAAGGAAGATGAGCCACCCCCGGCCGAACTTTGACTTTCGTCGAAAGAAGGGCGGCCTTTGTGCGCGCTCGGGATCCCACGGAACTACCGTGTTCCGTCGCGAGTCCTCTTCCGGCTTCTCTCCAAGCCGCCTCCATTGATCCAAGTTCGGAGCTGGGAGCGAGAAAAAAGGAAGCTCGGCGGGGAAAAAAGAAACGAGAGGCGAACGAATTATTCCCGGGGGCGATCGAGGGGATGGAAATCTATCGCGAAATAATGAGTTATGCGCCATTGATTCTCCTCTGTGCGCGCGCGCGCGCGCACGGGGGGAGGGAAAGTCGTCGCGCCGACACCGCCGGCCGCCTGCCTGCTCGCTCGCGTTCATTTCTCTCTGTCATCGCGAAGGAGGGCCGCCGATGTCTTAATGAATTCGGGAGGAAACAGCGACGAGTTTTCGGAGTGAGATTAACGACCGGCGTGGGATTGTTTAAATTTTACGGGGGGACAATGCGTCGTTGTAAATTTTCGGATTGTAATATGAAACTTGCGCGCTCGCGCGGTAGCTTTCAATCTATCACGCGCAGGCGGTGCTTATCGATGTAATTAATATAACCCTCTGCGATGAGTTTGATAAGTACGCTGAAAAAAAGCGCTGCCGCGTTCAAGTAGTATTTACTTGCTCCGTGTAAGATGATTACTCCGATACTCCTTGGCAAATCTTGACTGGAAGCAGAAATATAATGTTTGCTGTACTATATAAATTGGTATACAAAGTGTCTAACGTAAACCGTGCCATCCGTCGCATACTTGCAGTTTAAGTCAATGTGAACAAAAAAGTCTCCTATCATTTTGCAAACATGCAAAATTTCGAGCTATAGAACAGTTTGCGTCAGACACCCTTGTATGATATGATATTTTCTCCTTACAAGCAGACATTTACTTGTATGTATTAAAACAATTGCGACAAATATCAAATTCATAATATTGAGAATATAAGAATTTATTTTTAAAAAATATTCACTAGACAGAAAAAATTAAATTTAAAACCACTAGGAAAAGATGGAAAAGAAGTATCACGTAATTTTAATAAATATTCCCTTAAATTTAGAACTATAATACAATTACATTCAATAATTCATTTACAAGTTAAGATATTATTGTATTCAAGTAAGTATTTATTACGAGTTATTAAAATATACTTAAATTTGTAAAAAATATTACTTGATTACGTGATGAATCAATGATTTTATTATTTTATGCAAAATGTCAATCCGAAGAACATCCGCTGAGCGTCAATTTTTCGACGCGCAGCAATGCGATGTGACGGTGCGCAACGTAAGAAATTCGATTTCGGAACCGTCGCGTCGCGATGCTGAAAAGATCCCGTCTTAATAGCGGCCGCGCGAAAGAATCTGCCGAGAAGGCGAGAAGGTTGAGAGGCGACGAAAAAGAGGTTAAAGGCCAAAAATCTATTGCAAAATAATAAGTTATCTCCGGACGACTTTTGCCGACGTGTCTTCCGCGGCTGGCTTCTCCCCGAGGTTACCTCATTATTTCTAACTGATGACGCCATAATTCAGGTTCCCGCGACGTACAAGAAAATGGACTTCCCGGCCTCGTCTTGCACTTTGCCGAGCTCCTATGCGACATGGCACCCGTGTCTCTGGTTTTGCTATTCCATCCAATTAAATGCCTAATCAATTATCCCGCGGGACGAGCTGCCGCCCTTTCTTGTAGACATCTTTGCAACCGCGCTCTTATGCAGCTCATTACGATAAGGCATGCGGGAGCCATTGTTCGCGAATCTCGTCCTAAAATACACCGAATTAGCATTTAAAATCCTCCGCGTTATCAGCCTTAAAAATTTGATCCACGAATAAAAAGCGTTAACATTTCGCTCGCTTGTACAGGGTGAATCACTAAAAGCATTAGAGGCTAATATTTTTGAAACTGAACGAGATATGAAATTTTTATTTTCTAGCGACTATTGGGTATCGATGTGGACACTGTGTGATGAAGTTTTAATTTTTTTTATCACTTAACACATATAGAATGATAGAATCTCAGACCGCTGCCTCACATTGATTTGATCTCTATAATTTTATGTAAAAAATAAAGTTGACTTTGAAATGACCTTAATGACTTTGTTTAAAAATTAACTTCATCACACAATGCCGGGCTTCAATACCAAACGGCCATTGGAAAATAAGAATTTCATATCTCGTTTAATTTCAGAAGCCTAACGCTTTTAGTGATTCACCCCATACAGTTTCCCGGAAAACAGTTCCGGCGTCTCGACATTTCCATTCGACAAAAAGTCGCAAAGAAAAATATTCGTGAATTCGTGTTTCGTCGTGAAGTTCGAAAGTTGCAAGTTGCATGGAAGAGAAGACCCAATGTGCAATGGTTCTTCTTTCCATATTCAACATCGATCAATTAATACGTATTGCCGTTCGTACGCATTTGAATAATTGCATTCCGCTCAGCAGATGTATTATGAATACTAAAAAGTTTCGATCGATTTCGTTTTGCAGGTTTCCGGAAATTTACACAATACCGGGCAGTTCCTGGTATTTAGGGCGGACAGAGAGGCGAAGATACGAGTCAATATAACGGGTGGCCCGCTCGCTTATCACTATCAGTTCGAAGAGATATACATCCACTACGGAATGGACGATAGTCATGGCTCCGAACATCGTATCAATAACTATGCTTTCCCCGCTGAGGTGAGTCGCACATAATGTATTATATGAAAGGGATAAGAGATTCCTGAGGGATGCATGATACCGTAGCCCGAGTGTGTGCCTCAATCTGCCAACGATGTCTCGTCACCTTTAAGAATTTTACATAAGGCATAAAACCGAGCGAAAACTTTTAGCTCTCGAAATCTCTTCATGTGTGGAGCGCACGAAAGTCACTTTTCTCGGGCCGCATAAATAATGAGAAGAAAAATCGCACTTTAATCGGGCTTCTAGTTTAAACGGATCGTGGATTTTCAACGTGTTACTGTTTAAAAGTCCTTGCATTTTTAACGGTCAAATACCATTTGCGCAGAAAGAAATCCATTTCAGAGATTAGCTCGAGTGTTAATTATAGATTAATGCATATTTCAATTCCCGGACTACTAATATATTCCCTTTTCCTCTGGTAGAGCCTATATATATATATAGACCTATAAACCTTAATATATATATATATATATATATATATTAGGTTGGGGAAAAAGAAATCCATTATTTTTACTTGAACTTCAAGACTTTATTTAACATGTTTCGGATTGTCCGATTTGGGTCAAATATGCACCGTTTTGTTTTATAATTTGTTGCCATTTTAAAGGTAGCTTCATAATGCCTCTCTCATAAAAGTCTTGGTCCCTATTGGCGAAAAACTCTAGCAATCGATTTTCACAATCTTCTCTTGATGCCAATTTCTTATCACTAAGGAAGTTTTGCAATGCAAGAAAAACATGGTAATCGCTTGGTGCCGGACTATATGGTGGATGCATCAAAACTTTCCAACCAAGCTCCCGGAGTTTCTGCCGAGTCACTATAGATATGTGTGGTCTGTCCTGATGGAACACAATACCTCTCCTGTTGGCCAATTCTGGCCGTTTCTGGTCAATCGCTAGCTTCAAACGGTCCAGTTGTTGACAGTAGAGATCCGAATTTAGTGTTTGGCCATATGGAAGCAACTCATAATAAATGATTCCTTTCCAGTCCCACCAAATGCACAGCAGAACCTTCCTGGCCGTTAGTCCTGGTTTGGCCACCGTTTGAGCTGCTTCATCGCGCTTTGACCACGATCGTTTTCGCACAATGTTGTCGACCCATTTCTCATCCCCAGTCACCATCCGTTTAAGAAATGGGTCGATTTCATTCCGTTTGGCCAAGGCTTCGCAGATGGANGCCACCGTTTGAGCTGCTTCACCGCGTTTTGACCACGATCGTTTTCACACAATGTTGTCGACCCATTTCTCATCCCCAGTCATCATCCGTTTCAGAAATGGGTCGATTTCATTCCGTTTCGCCAAGGCTTCGCAGATGGAAATTCGATCCATCATGTTTCTTTGTGTTAATTGGTGTGGCACCCAAACATCAAGCTTCTTTTTGAATCCAGCTTTGTGCAAATGGTTTAAAACTGTTTTATGGTCGATCTTTAGCTCCTGGGCGATGCTACGACTGCTAACATGCAGATCGATTATTTCTGTGATTTTATCGACATTTTCGACGACGGGCCTACCTGTGCATCTTTAACATCAAAAATACCTGAACGGAATCGACGAAACCAAAATTGCACGTAATTGGCTGTTACAGTATCGGCACCATAAACACCATTCACAATTACAGCCGCCTGGCTTGCATTTTCGCCTTTATCAAAGAAAAACTNTCTTTAGCTCCTGGGCGATGCTACGACTGCTAACATGCAGATCGATTATTTCTGTGATTTTATCGACATTTTCGACGACGGGCCTACCTGTGCATCTTTAACATCAAAAATACCTGAACGGAATCGACGAAACCAAAATTGCACGTAATTGGCTGTTACAGTATCGGCACCATAAACACCATTCACAATTACAGCCGCCTGGCTTGCATTTTCGCCTTTATTAAAGAAAAACTGTAAAATGTACCGAATTTTCTCTTCGTTGACTTCCACTTTTAACACCCTGTAACTCACAACTGAATGGACCAAACAAAAAACAACAAAAGAATTTTTTTAGTGCGAAATGTCACCTTTCCAACGAGCATAAATCTGAAATTGTTCGATCGATACTTTACGAGATATCGATCACTACAGCCATCTACCGAAAAAATAATGGATTTCTTTTTACCCAACCTAATATATGTGTGCACGTCTGTGCCAGGGTGGTTATGCCGAAAATTCGCGAGGGAAGAATAACACGATGAAAGAGAAAATAATTGAGGCGTAAAGAAAAAATGATGATATCTCTAATCCGATGAATACACTACAAATGCAAATGTGTTATTTTTATACGCATAAACGTCTAAAAATAACACATTAAACTGAACTCATTTTACATGTTTCTTGCCGTTTCAGGTTACGCCATTTGAAACGTTTAATTGTGTTAAATTATAAATTAACACGTCCACTTGTTAAACGACATGATTTAATACGGCCAGAAATGTGTATGAAAAATCTCAGCTAAAATAACACATTTGTATTTACAATGTAGATAATTCTCATACAGGAAAGCATGCGTGATAGTTTAAAGATAGTTTATCTTAAACTTAAAATCTTTACTTTAAAGTTAAAAATTCGTGGAATATATTGCATGAATACGCACATACCCGTGCAATATGTACAGTTACGCGTGTGTATACATATTATTATCTAATTATAGTTTATCGTACGAAACCACAGAGAAACGATACTTATAATCCCGTTATAACAACTGCAACTCGGGTTTTCGGTTACGGCCGGCCACAAACGCGGTACAGACAATCATGAAATTCTAATCACGCCATTATCCTAGCAATCGCTTTACAAAGCGACAAATAATTGGGATTATCGTGTAATTTGCAGTTTGCCAATTAATTATAACCACAATACAGTGAGACCGTGCCTGTGACGCGTGCACGGCGCACGGCTCCCTCGTAAAACTCTACATATTGGCGAACGTGATTTCGTTCGCGAATGAGCTGTACTCGAAATCATTGCTGTAACGAGAGACGGAGCGGAGCAGAGGAGGATGACCCGAGGGTGACGATATAATTAATTGAAATTAATTACGTGCCGGCATCGTAACGAGACAAATTAAACATTCGTTAAACGGGACATGACGGCGACCCAATTAACTGTGACCCGCTTATTTCTCTCGAAAGCAAGCGGAGAGACCCCTTCCGCTTTACGATCCAATTTTCTTAAACCCACATAATAATGGCGCGATCCGCTACCGTCGCCGGTGTGTCGAGTGTCCAAACTAGTAGAGAGAGAAAGAGAGAGAGTGAGGAATCGCGATGACGTCGGATGACTGGTTTGGATTTATAGAGAATCCGTTTCACGAGATAATCGGAACCCGGGGAGAATAAGCGACGATGCGGATATCGTAAGAAGCGAAAATAAACGTGTGCGATATCCTCGGCAAGATAAATTGCGACGGAAAAGTTCGCAAACGGGGATGTTGGCGAACGGATTCCATGCGAAACGTATTACCGAGTCCGGTAAAAAATTAAACTTCTGAAAACGCTCGCGCGGGTTGATTCGGCGGAAATGTAATATCGATCAGTACGCCTCTCCCCTCCCCCTTACCTATAAATACAGAGGTCGAAGGGATACTTCTCTATCCTTTTTTTCTTAATGACTAAAAAGGTCGGTTTAATGAATCCGCGCAACCGGAGGTAATTATCGAGAATCGATAATCAAGAAGTCTAAGTGCATTTGTAGGATATCGGATCGATGATATGACTAACACGGATTTCTCATTTATTAAAACGCGGCGCACGTAAAATTCAATATGCCAATAATAACTAACTTTTCGCTTTCGCGCAAATCCCCTCTCAGATAGCGGTAACGAGTTACAAGCAGTTCGAACGGTAATTCAATTTGGATATCGCGAGTATGGTCGGCGGATAAACGAGCAGCCAAGTAGTAATGAAATTTTTATCTCTTAATTCGCGCCGTATCGTTTCGCAGAAAGAGCGACCGCGGATTTTCTTTTTCATTCGCGCATTAACGCTTTTTTCCCCGACTCTACCGCTCTCTCTCTCTCTCTCTATCTCTCTCTCTCTCTCTCCCTCACTCTTTCATCTTCGTCTTTGATACGCCTCGATTCGCAGCGCTACGTGAGAAGAAGGGGGTTGCGAGCACATCTCGCTGATACCACAAGACACCAGGAAAAGCGCCAAATGCGACTGGCCATTATATCCTCGCGCCCTTGGTGAGGAACGGGCTTTCAATGGGGCCGTGAATCAAAGCCAGTCACCTACCATCGTACCATCATACGTACGGGTCTACCACCCCGCGTCTAGCTTACGCCGCTCTTCTATATAGGACTCCGACCGACTGTACGAGCGCACGTGAATTAATTTGGTAGTTGCAAGAAGAACGGATCCGGCATTTTCCCCGCTGCCAAATCGATCTAGTTAGACGACGAGGGGTCTGTCCCGGTTTATCAAGCGGGAGGGAAGTGTCCTTGAAACGATTCAAAATTTATCGTGACACTTTGTAGCATGAGGATTCGTCTCTCCCTCTCCCTCCCTCTCTCTCTCTCTCGTGTACATGAAAGAGGATTATTTGCGAAAATTTTTCTTCCGATCTAATTCAAGTTTGATTTTTTACTCTAAAAAATTAGACAGGTTGACCATCGATGAATCATGACCCGGTCATTTTTCCGTCTGACCTGATAGCTTTCAGGTTGATCTTTAGCCGAAATAACGGAACATCGATCATCGGCGGATCAAGACGTTTATTAGGGATAAAAGAGGAATAATGGCTTATCAGATACGCGAACCGTATCGAATTTCGGTAACGGGGCAGATAGTTCGGGAGGTGCCAATATTAGGTATATATACAACGCGATAATCGCGGCATGCGACGTTATAGTCAATAAAGAGAGCATAACATGTTTATTGATCATTAATTCAGTACTCCCGGCGGGAAGGGCAAACACAATTACATTCGGTAGCGGAATACACGGCGCATTATGCTAGGTGCGCCATAATGCCTACGCCGAGTGTTCAATAGGCTTCTGTGCGGTCGATCACGA